CACTCATTTTAAAATAGTACACAGAGAGTAAGTTGCCGATGATCCTGATCAATGTGTTTGGTTCTGCTTCTACCTGAGGATGGATTTGATGATTCTGTTGGTATTGTACAAAGACTTTCGACAATGAACTGCCTGTGTGACCCTTAGAAAATCATGTCTCTGAACTTTTTTCTCCTTGGGAAGCATGGAGTTAATATTGCCTACCTTAAAGGGTTGTTGTGAAAATTATATGAGATTATATGTAACATCTACCTTATACAAAATGCTTATTATGTACTAGCACTGTGATAAGCTTATCAGATAAATTTATGTGTAATCCACAATAAAACAGATATTAGTTGGATTCTTTGCTTATGTTCCAGGAAAAATCAAATCTGTAAATCCAAAATCTTTCTAAAATTTCTCTTGATTTTCAAGGAGCATTCTCTAAGGGCTAACCCCACCTATTGTATCTTTCTTCATGGGAAATGATCGAATATGCTTAAAGGAATGACAGGTTCTTCTTCAGTCTCCTTGTCAGAGATCGCTCACACACCAATCATTTGTGAGTCAAGGGTGTGGTCCGGATGGTTTTGTTTTGTCATGGGAAAGAGTTCTATAGTGTGGTGTGAAATTTTACCTCTTTGCTGGCTACTGCCCATTCTCTCCCCTACTCCCTTATTTTTACTTCCTTTCTTCTTAGATTTTCCTTGGAACTTCAAATTGGTTGTCTTCTATTATGCAAAACTAAGTATCTTTTTTTAAGGTTTTGGTATCTGATATTCAGAGTCTTGAGATCCCACTTTTTACATCATCATTTGCCAAGGTAGCTTTCTTTTTTGAAAACAATCCTGCATTTATCAATGTACTGCATTCACATAGTTAAAAGTCAAATAGGGCTAATGAGTGTATTTTGCATGAAATATAGTCTCCTGTTCTATTCTTCCTCATTCTCAAGTTCTGCTGTCTTCATATATCAACTTCAGCTCTTTTACAGATTTATCTATGATTTTTCAATATCTTTATAAATATTTATACTTGTATTGCTATTTCTTAATTTACCAATCAGTGTTTTTAGACGTCCTGTTTTGGTAAATAAGGATTTATCACTCTTTTTTTTTTTTTTTAAGATTTTATTTATTTGTGAGAGAGAGAATGAGAGACAGAGAGCATGAGAGGGAGGAGGGTCAGAGGGAGAAGCAGACTCCCCGCCGAGCAGGGAGCCCGACGCGGTACTCGATCCCGGGACTCCAGGATCATGACCTGAGCTGAAGGCAGTCGCTTAACCAACTGAGCCACCCAGGCGCCCCAGGATTTATCACTCTTAACACCCTCTCCCGTCCTCCCCCCACATACATATGTGTGTCTTCATGCTGTTCTCTCAGTATAGTTTAGCACATACTTAATTAACTCACCACTCAGTTTCCACATTATTGAATAGTTAAGTATTATTTGCTGTTGAGCCTACTTGTATACTATGATTCTTCCTTCCCAAATTTACTCTGTTATTTTACTGTTTTATTATTCTATTTATATTCTCCATTTTCCATTTTTTAAAAGTTCCAGTAAAGCTGTCAAACACTAGTATTTTTCCCAAATGTTAAAATATAACATTTAACTTACTTTCGTGGATTTCTCAACTTTAACTTCCATCTTCACTTTTCATTAAAAAAAAATCTGTTATAGTATCTTTAATTTTCAAGAGCTCTTTTTAAATTTAATTTAATACATTTTTCAATGCATCATTTTCTAGTTTTATGGAAAGACTAATGTCTTTCTATAAAAACACACATTTATATGTGGTGTTAACTTTCTTCATCATTGCCTTTTTTTTTTAAGATTTTATTTATTTGACAGAGAGTGACACAATGAGAGAGGGAACACAAGCAGGGGAGCAGGAGAGGGAGAAGCAGGCTTCCTGCCGATCAGGGAGCCCGATACGAGACTTGATCCCAGGACCCTGGGATCATGACCTGAGCCGAAGGCAGACACTTAATGACTGAGCCACCCAGGCGTCCCTTTCATCATTGCCTTTTATCTTTTTTTTTTTTTTTTTTTTTCTGTTTGTTTGAACTTTGGAGACTTTCCTCAAATGTCTGGTAATTTTTGGCATTCCATTTATATTTAAAATTTTGTCACCAGGGGCGCCTGGGTCCTATAGTTGGTTGAGCTCAACATGGAGTCTGCTTGAGATTCTGTCCCCCTCTTCGCTTCTCCTCCTTGTGCTTTTTCTCCCTCTCTCTCTAAAATAAATAAATAAATCTTTAAAAAAAGAAAAAAAAATTTGTCACTAAAATTCCAATCAGAAGTTCCATTTAGGGTGAATGGACTTGTCGTCTGATGATCTCTAATATAGAGCCAGTTATTTCATTGAGAGTTACCCAAAGGTCAGAATGTGTAAAGTTTAGCTACACTACACAAAAATTCTGTAGTTTTCTTCCTGATGGTGATAGAGTTATAAGAGACCTACAGTTGAGGATGTGAGCGTATACATAATTTCTGGTTTTTCAGTATCGTGAATCATCCGATTTTCTGTATGCCTGTTGTTCCCACATTAGGAACCTTATTGACCCCATTTCTCCAGAGGAAAACATATCCTATCTCTCACATAGCTGAGGTTAAGAATAAGTTTGCCTGGCTGCACAGAGAAAGAAAGGGAAGCTTGGTGGGAAAGTCCCATGTGTCCACTTTGCTATGAATGTAGGTCTTTATTTCTTCATGTCCACCCCAGCTCATTCCTATTCTTGTAGTGCTGACTGATTGTGGAGGCTGAAGCTGAGCTTCCAGGTGTATTGTCAGGTAAATTGGGTGGCTTCTGTTTTGGTGCCCTGTGATGTGACATAGGCTTTAACTTCCTATATGCTGTATGTCCCTTATCATTCCTCCATCTACTTTTTCTTTCTCAAATATTTGCTGAAATAATTCCTCTCACTATTTCTTTCTCATTCTCTGTTATAGGTTAATAACATGCAAATTTTTTAACTGTCATTTTGTTATAATTTTTGAAAGGTTAAAAGGAATTTTGTGGTGGTCCTCTATGTAACCAAATATTCTCATTTTTCCTAACAATGACAGACCTTTAATGAAGAATTCTGGTGTCAGCTATTAAAATAACAAAATGATCGACTCATCACTGAAAGAGGTATATTGTTTCTTTAACACTTGATTGAATGAGAGTCAGCGGGGTTAATCAACTTGTCCAGAGTCAAATCCACTCAGTAGGTGGCAAAGCACTGAATCAGATTGAGAGCCGCCTGATTCTGAAGGCTAAGCTGTAGCTATTAAACATTGCTTAGTCCATCAGATACCTGACACATCACAGGTTTTCAACGATGGCAACTACTGGTGCTGTCACCCCACAAGGATAGTATTCAATGTTTGAGACATATGTTATTTCTAGAGTAAGTGGGGTAATCCTTATACACAGTATCTACAATAATTTATTTTAGGCCTAACAGCAGTAGGTAACATAATTAGCATTTTTAAAAACTTATTGTGATAGGTAGAATAATGCCTCCCCTCCCAAAAGATGTCTACATCTTAATCCCCAGAAAGTGTGAATATGTTAGGTTATATGGCAAGGGGAATTAAGGTCACAAATGGAATTAAAGTTGCTAGTCAGCTGACCTTGAGATATCTGGGTGGGCCCAATTTAATCCCAAGAGTTCTTACAAGTGGAAGAGGGAAATGGGAGAGAAAGAATCGGAAAGATGGCAACACGAGAAGGACTCAGCCTGACAGTGCTGGCTTTGAAAATAGAGGGATGGGGCCATAAGCCAAGGAAGGCATGTAGTCTCTGGAAGCTGGGAAAGGCAAGAAAACTGGTTTTCCCTTATGTCTCCAGAAGAAATGCAACCCAGCCAACTATTTGATTTTAGCCTTGGGAGACTCTTTCTGACTTCAGAACTGTAAGATAATAATTTTGTTTTGTTTTAAGCCACTAAGTTTATGGTAATTTGTACAGCAGCGATAAGAAATGAATACATTTATTAAATAAAATAAAAGTGTGTGCATGTGTAGCTTATCAGAAGAAAAAGATGGTAAATGCTTACTTGGGCAGAGGTGGGCAAAGGGACATGGTATGACTGAATAGTAACCCTAGAAATGAACGGCCTTTTGGAGAGGAAGGAGTAATTGGAGCTGCAAAGGGCAGCTCAGTGGTCAGGGCAGAAAGGAATCCATTGTGATCTTGGACACAGACAGGACAGTGTGTCTTCTTGCCCCAAGGTTTTTAAAATGCCCCTAATTTTGCGGCAGTGTGCGGAGTATAGACCTTGTTAGGGAGGATACCCAAGTTAGGGAGAGCTGATGCACAGAAGAAATAAGCAGAAGCCATCCTAGTGGAATGTGAGTTAGGGGCTGGTGCTCTTCTCTGCAGAGTGGAGGGGACAAATCTCCATAGTATCACCTAGTAAACACTATTTCTAAAGTGGCTTCTTATCTACGTTGGGGAAGGAAGCCAGTATTCTAAGGAAAAGATTGCTACAGTGACAAAGAAGGGCTCAGTCCTGCTGGGGACCTCTGGGAGTTAGTGCAGGACACACCTCACATTGTTTCCCTGGGAGTGAAGGGACTGTGCTATTTACTTACCAACTTCCCCTTCATCAGTGGTTGAGGGCTCCTCTTGAGACATCATCTCTGCCATCTCTGAACTTCCCTGAGCATGGGCCAAGCATTCTCTGGTAAGTAGATAAAGCCTCTGTAAAGAGCTGCAAATGAGTGTAGTACAAAGCCCTCAACAGGTATGGGAATGGGCAATACCAAGGATTTATGTTCTGCTCTTACCAATCATGACACAGAGACAATATGACATGTATGGCATAAGGATCTTTGAGATACCTGAAATTACATTGGCAAGATGTAGGAGGAGAAAAATGAGATTGTCCACAATGGAAACGATTTTCTTGGCCACACTGATTAATAGTCACTAATTTTCTGAAGAAGGGGGGATTAAGGATTGATATAAAAAACTGTTCATGTTCGGGAGTCGAGACCAGAGACCGAACTCGGGATCTGACAAGATGGCTGGGCTGCCCCGCAGGATTATCAAGGAAACCCAGTGTTTGCTGGCAGAACCAGTTCCTGGCATTAAAGCAGAACCAGATGAGAGCAACGCCCGTTATTTTCATGTGGTCATTGCTGGCCCCCAGGATTCCCCCTTTGAGGGAGGGACTTTTAAGCTTGAACTATTCCTACCAGAAGAATACTCGATGGCAGCCCCTAAAGTACGTTTCATGACCAAAATTTATCATCCTAATGTAGACAAGTTGGGAAGAATATGTTTAGATATTTTGAAAGATAAGTGGTCCCCAGCACTGCAGATCCGCACAGTTCTGCTATCGATCCAGGCTTTGTTAAGTGCTCCCAATCCAGATGATCCATTAGCAAATGATGTAGCGGAGCAGTGGAAGACCAACGAAGCCCAAGCCATAGAAACAGCTAGAGCATGGACTAGGCTATATGCCATGAATAATATATAAAATTGATCTGATCATCAAGGGTGCATCACTTCTCCTGTTCTGCCAAGACTTCTTCCTTTTTTGTTTGCATTTAATGGACACAGTCTTAGAAACATTACAGAATAAAAGCCCAGACATCTTCAGTCCTTTGGTGATTAAATGCACATTAGCAGATCTATGTCTTATCCTGATTCATTGTTGTAAAGCATGAGCAGAGGCTAGAAGTACCATCTGGATTGTTGTGAAACGTTTAAAAGCAGTGGCCCTTCTCTGCTTTTATTCATTTCCCCCATCATGGTTTGAGTATAAAGCACTGTGAATGAAGGTAGTTGTCAGGGTTAGCTGCAGGGGTGTGGGTGTTTTTCTTTATTACTTTTTTTGAGGGGGAGAGGTAGTTTTATTTTAATTTTATGGGCTCCTTTCCCCCTTTTTATGGTGATCTAATTGCATTGGTTAAAAGCAGCTAACCAGTTCTTTAGAATATGCTCTCTAGCCAAGTCTAACTTTATTTAGATGCTGTAGATGGACAAGCTTGATTGTTTGAACCAAAATGGGAACATTAAACAAACATCACAGCCCTCACTAATAACATTGTGACTTTGCTGTCAAGTGTAGAATCCTTCCTTCAAGAAAAAGCTTGTGACCATTTTGTATGGCTGTCTGGAAACTTCTGTAAATCTTATGTTTTAGTAAAATATTTTTCGTTATTCTACAAAAACAAACAAACAAACAAAAAACAACAAAAAAAACTGTTTATGTTCACATTGCATAACATGTCCGTATAGACCATATAGGAATCTAGATCTAGAGATATAGATATGTGGACTCAAACCTGAATATTGTAGCCAACATGGAGGGCCCAAAGGAGACAAGATACATAGTACCAAGTGTGCATCCCAAAAAGGTTTATTGTGTTATGCATGTGTCCTACATTTTACTTTCCTTTTATGAAAACACACACAAAAAAGACCCAATAGGCACACTTTCCAAAGTATGAAAATTGCAGGTGTACAACATGTGGTTGAGAATACAGTTCAAGGAATTGGTTGTACCCTACTTCCTTCCCTGAAGGTAGAACAGCTGGGAGTATCATCTTCATGCACTAAGAACTATCATTTAAAGTAATAGCAGTCTCAGACTGTACAAGTTCACAGCGGGCTTAACTAGCCAAGCAGATGTAATGGCTCAGAAATGAACAATGTAAAAATAAGTCAAAACAACAAACACATGGGTATTTGAAGACTAGTATTTGAAGACTATAGTCATTTATATACCAAGATCTGGCAAAACAAGATGAAAAATGATTTATTTTTGCATGTTTTATTCTCTCATCTCTTAAGAATGAAGCATTAAAAATAAAAACAAAAAACAAGAGCTTTGGAACCATATGAGGGTTCAAGTGCTCTTACTTTAATCCTTACTAGCTTTGACCTTGACCCAGTTTTATGAGTCTCAGTTCTTCCATCTGTCAAATGGAGATGTTGCCTTCCTCAGGTAGTTTTAGTGGGAAGAAATTGGATTAATATATAAAGCCTCTTTATTGCGGACTTTGAATTGAATGTCCATCCTTGCTTCTCTTTATGCAATCCGGGGCTTTCTCAGAGTGGAGGTGCATTTACTTCACTGTGTTTGAGTTCAAGCTTGTTTACTGATGTTCTTTTGAAGTCCTACGTAGTGTCCTAGCTACTGTTGATACCAAAAAGAACAGAATACAGATTCTTCCTTTGAGGAGTTCAAAACATAATGAAGGTATAGAAAATAAGTCATCTTAATCCACTGTGTTATGTGCCCTAGTAGAAATATATACAAAATACTAAAGGAACTCAGATAATGGGGTAATTGATTCTGCCAGGGAAATACAAGGGAAGAGAGGAGGCCAGAGAGAGGAAGTAATATTTGAGCTGTACCTTGAAGAATAGATAAGATTCTTTATTTAAAAAGGAAAAAGAGAGAGAGAGTACTGCAAGTAGAAGGACTGTCTTAAGAATTATGTTTCAATTACCTTTATATGCAGCGATCCAAGTAACCGGGCAAACAGTTGTTATGGCCTTTTTTAAGTTTGCCTCCACTAACTATACCCTGAATCATTTTATAGAGAAAGCCAATGCTTGATTTTCATAACTGCTATTTGGGTAACTTTATTGATCTTATTTGGATTGTATGGGAGGGTATACCAGTTCAGAAGCCCAACCTCAAACAAGTTTAACCATCTAGAATGAGCCACAGAACAAAAAATAGTGGGGGGAAAGAAAAAACTTACAGAAAGCCTCTGCAAGGGAAAGAACTATCACAGATTTCATAGGCTTAATTTTATTTTTTTTAATTTTATTATTTTTTTAAAACATAATTTTTTTTTAAGATTTTATTTATTTATTTGAGAGAGAGCAAGCATAAGAGGGGGTAGGGTCAGAGGGAGAAGCAGACTTCCCGCTGAGCAGGGAGCCCGATGTGGGACTCGATCCCGGGACTCTGGGATCATGACCTGAGCCGAAGGCAGTTGCTTAACCAACTGAGCCACCCAGGCGCCCCATAGGCTTAATTTTAAATTTATTTTTAATTCCAGAAGATATGCTATCAAATTACCAATATGTAAGAATTTAGAGTAAGAGACAAAACTTGAGATTTTTGGCTGAGTATGGCACACACATTTTAACCCATGCTTCCTCTTAAAACCCCAATAAATGGACAATAATGTGATTTTTTTTTAAGTTGTGAATCCATAGTGGCAAGGAAAGCAATAGAGAAGATGACAATATAGCAGATGGATGAGAGCTAAAATCAGCAGACTGAAGGATGTTGAATCCTAGGGTGGTTAAGGGATGAAGCTCAGCAGCAAAACAGGGTGGACACGTGGAAACTTGAGGCATCTTTGACACAGGGAGAGCGAGCAGGACTGAAAAGCAGAAGGATTATGATTAGAAAGGGTGTTTAAGAAATCAACCCCCCCCCCCCATCCCAGGCCTCCTCCTTCAGCCTACATGGTCAGGTACCCATTGCTCCCTTCCCCTGAATAAAGACAGGTGGATTTTCTGGAGAGGTGGAATCAGTGAGAGTCTGAGTTTAGGACACAAGGCATGGAAATTTCAGAGGTGGAAGGTATGAATGTGTATGTGGGAGAAGGATCAGAGGACTGCTGATTTTTTTTTTTTTTAAGATTTATTTATTTAGATAGAGGGAGTGAGCAGGAGGGAGGGGCAGAGGGAGAGGGAGAGAGGGAATCTCAAGCAGACTCCTGGCTGAGCGTGGAGCCCAGACGTAGGGCTCGATCTCACGACCTTGAGATCATGACCAAGCCAAAATCAAGAGTCTAATGCTTAACGGACTGAGCCACGCAGGAGCCCCCTGCTGAATTTTTTTTTTAAAGCCTTGTAGAATTGTTTAACAACATAAATAACTTTGTGAAGAAACACTTAAAAAGGAATATCTCTCTCTTCACTGGAGGACTTGATGATTAAGAGATTCTCTTAGGCCCCAAATAAAAATCATTTTATTTGGGGTACATATGAATATTATGCACCCAAATATTTTTATTCAGGTATTACTTCAGTAGTCTGGAGAGATGGGAAGGATGTGTAGGATAAAAAGAAGATGTATGAAGAAAAAGTTTTTTCTCTTTACCATTTTATTGACTAGATTTTTCTTCAATAAACTATCAAAATAATGAAAATTTAATTTATTAGAAAAACCATCCTGATTCCAAATGTCAGAAGTGCTAGAATAGAACTAGCAATTTAAAAAGTTTCAGCTTATCTCTGGCTCATCCTCCTGCAAAGAACTCAGTGATTTATGCTCAGTTTTTTGTCAAATGTAAATAAGATTTGCATCTTATTCAGTCAAACACATAACAACATTGATTTAGCGCCCCACAGTGAGCTGAGCAGGGAGCGAAATCCTTCTCAGCAAACGATGACATCTTATCTCAGTGCCTCTGAGGCCTCATGGAAAGCATTCTTTTATTACCGAAGTTTTCCTTAGTCCCAAGATGAACTTGACATATTGAGCATATGACTAAAAATAACCTGATATTTTTGTTAATCCAAAATTTTTACTTCCAAGTGAGTATTGGTCTTTCCAAAGTATTCACCCTGGAAAATTAGATGCTAAATAGTACTTCTTCTTCCTTTGAATTTGCTTCGGAACTGGAAGCAAGGTGTTCATTCCTGTCCTGAGACTAGACCAAGATCGTTTGGCATCAGTAAGTTGCTGTCAGCTGCCTTGTGGTGAGCATCGTAGCATAATGTATAAACTTGTCCACTCACTATGTTGTTACCCCTGAAACTGATGTGACTGATGGACAATTCTAGCAGCTGCAGACGTTTTTCTCTGGGAGACTGTTTCCAAAGAGATTATGCACTGGACGTAAAGATGTTAATAGATCAGATAGCTCATGGCTGAACACTCCCACCACTTACACCGTCCTGGTCAGATATATTTTGATTTAATGCTTTTATTCTTTCTTGGTGTGTGGAGCTGCATCCATGGCAGCTTCATTTATCTTAATTTGTCAACTCCTACGAGGTCATTATTCTGTGAACTTAGTATAGTATCATAATCAGTTAGGTAATTGAGATACCTTTTTGTTGTTGTAGATGATGAATTTAATAGTGGAGATAATGCCTGCGCACTCGGGGCCTGCTGGAGTGTGCACAGAGCGTAAAGCAAATGCAACACAGCACATGCTGAGACTGTGGACAAGAGCATAGTTAGTCCTGAGCGTTACAGCAGTGGTGAGCGTGTAAGAAGGCAGGTGAGTTGAAGAAGGATTCATAAATTATGGGATGTAGGCCTTTCAGATCCTTTAGTCAAATTCCCTCATTTCATAGAGGAGTAATGAAGGCCCAGGGAGGTCCATTTCCTAATACAAATGGAAGAGCAGGACTCCGGTTCAGGATTCACGGCTTAATGGTTGCAGCCTTCCTCCCTTTTCCGGGCTTCAAGCTACCTTTGATGTATATAGTTTGCCTTCAGTCCTTTCTAGCCTAAAATCTCATTCCTCTTGTTTTTTCCCTGTCTTTGCCAAGACTCTGTGCTAAAAATTTCCCCTCACATTTCTTTCCTCTCAAGTTGAAGTTCTTTTATATAAGAGGGGAAGGTTCTGAAAGCCTCTGATCTAAGCTGGCATAAAATTGCTGTGGGTGAGGTGAAAAAGCTAAGAGGAATTTGCCTTCAAACTTTTAA